AAATGATAATATAAACAAAAATTGTATAAAGATACAGATTCGAAGGGTTTTATTAAAAATGTATTAAATTGTATTAATAATTACCATTACACAATTTTGAATACGTGATAAATAAATAAATATATATACATATAAGTATATGTATATATGTATATATATATAATACATATACTATATATGTATACACACATATATAGGTACGATCTATGTGGATTGTACGTATACATATTTCATGTATATAGCATGTAAGGGTGTTCCATAAAATATTGGTACAATAATTTCGCTGGAAAAGGCAGCGNAATAAATGCTAAAAAATACAAATACATCTTCTTCTAATATCTACTTTTTCATACCTTACGTGTTCTTGGTCATGAAAATACCGGTACGAATAAATTAGTCTATAACTCTTTTCATGCCTGACACATTAAATTATTAACAAAACTTCCATCCCAGTAACACCTTCAATTCAATGCAAATTGCACATGTATGTATGTAGGTATGTATGTATATACATCATATAGTGAATTTAACACTGTTGCCAACAGTAAAAATTGACCATCATTATTTCATCATTGATTGACGCTAGTGATGTTCTATTTTCTTTATAGAATCGATTCTGAATCGAATCATGAGAATTTATTCACCGAAAAAATCGACATCAACAAATCGATTTTGCAAGAATTGATCCAAACTTTTTGTTTCCAATATACACATTAGAAGTATAGCTTTTCTAACAAACTTGTAATTAAAATAATAATACATATGTATAATACCTGGAGGCATCATGTATTACTGCCGAGATAAAACCACTTTATAAAAAGAGATAGTTTTCTTTCTTCATAAATATAACTTACAAACTTGTGCACGCATGTGCACTTGAATATAGAGTTCTATGACTATATTCGTGGTTGTAATTTGTATGCATGTCATATGTACATGTAGAAAAATACCGAGTAACTGGAGTTTTCTGTATACTTGATGTATTTTCATTTCTAATATTTTGATTTATACATAATATCGAAAGCATTGTTTGGATGAATTTTGAATAAAATGTATGCACATAACTTACAATCAATTGTTTAAGAAACGTTCATTCTTCATTAAAGTATGTTCATTTGGATTTAAAACAAAGATATTGTACAAATCCGATGATGAATAGAGTGGAAACAAATTAAACGATAATAATAAAATAACTAAAATTATTACATAATAAACAGAAATTTGTGTAAAAGATATTGTGCCAATCATTCTGCTAATCAAATGTTGTGTCAAGTTCAGCGTTCGACTCAAATGATTACAAAATTCTTAGGAAATATAAAATCTCATAACAAGCTACATGTCAACATTGTACGAAATTTCTATAATTCAAGTGGAGCCGTTAATTTTTTTTTACGAAATATACGTAAACGGCGCAATGATTTTTCTAATATAGTGTACAAAAGATATGAAGACGATGATGATACCGAAACAACAGTGACTATTAAATCAATCTTATTCCCTAATGAACCGCCTGCAAAACATCATTTTCTCCAATTTTATTTTTCGGATTTTTGGGCACACATGAAAAAAGAATATATAAAATATACTGGAAAGAAGTTATATAACGACAATCTGATGCTTGGTGCTGAAATAGCATGTGCTCTATTTATTCTAAGGAACAAGGGAAGAGTAAAGATCTACAATAATGATGAATGGATTGAGAAAACTGAAAGATACAAGAAACCTGATTTGATACCAGACTTTCATGATCCTGACTTTATTTTGGAAGCAATAGATTTAAAGGGATATCCCATATTATATGAAAACATAGAAAACATATGCAATCTTTTACAACTCCGGTGGCTGAACCTCGGTGGATGTAGTACTATTGATGACTGGACTGTGGACAAAATATCTGCAGAGTTCCCAGCTGTAGAGCACCTTGACATATCAGATTGCATAAATGTATCACCAAAAGGATTACAAGCATTATACAAAATGCCAAATTTAAAGAAATTAATTGTCACAGATTTCCAAAACTCTACAGAACTTGAGCTGACCTGTCTTATGCTAGAAGATATTAATCCATACTTAAAATGTGAAATAATAAAGGTAGAAATGGAACTTCTAGAAGATAACTGATATGTACAGTAGTAAAAGTAATTTTTAAAAATATTGGGACATATTTATAAAACATAAGTTATTTTTTGGTGCAACTAGGTGTCTCTTGTCAATTTATTTTTTTCCCTCCGTCTTTTCACATAATATAGTTCTGCTTTATTTGTGATTCCATAGGTTTTAATATTTTCTCTTTCATCTGTTAATTTCACATTTTCAAAACATAAATGATATTTTCTCCACACACGTTTCCAACTTATTATTTGCTTCACATTCTCTCTTTTCAATGATAATGTTGTATGTCGTTTGATAGCTTTCTTAAGGTCTAAGACTGTAGTATTATGTGGTGGTACCTAAATGTAAATAAAGTATCACATATTATATCAATGTTATTTTATAATCTAAGAAAAACCAGATATAACAATTCCAAAGATGTGTTACCACAATTCCAAGTTTTGGCAATTCTCCGCGGTTTAGATATATAGTTATTGCTTGCCCTTGTGCAACTGCCATTTGGGCTTTAAGTTCTTCAATTGTCACATCCATTGGTAAACCATGAAGAAGCGGATCACTTTCAGTTACATTATTAATCGCTTCTTTAGTTAGTTTCACTAGTTCTTCATGATCGAGTTCTGAATTCTTATTTACTGTTTCTTCTTTTTTAAATATATTGTCACATTCTTCTGGACTTTCTGATTTGGTATCCTTAATTGTACTCTGCATTTTAGTCCTGCTTTGTATAATTATATACGCTGCAGGAAGAGCTAATACTAGCAAAAAATATGAAATAACAAATACATAATAACATTACACTTGGCTTCACGTAACATAAATACAACATACATAATATGTTTCTGTATGTATAATAACAAATCTTAAATACATACTTATATATACAGCCGGTCAGCCAAGTCTGTTTCGACCAAATACATGTAAAGCACTTGATAGTACACTTTGCGAGGAAATTTATTTGAATTTGGTGCGAAGTCTCTGCTGAAAGGACACTCTACTCGGTATGTGGCGCCTGACACATGGCGTTGTCAAATTAGTGACAAATCTTTGTGGAACTTGTAGCGAAACGTATTGTTTGAAGAGGGCAGGTCGGTCGCACTCATGTAGCAGCGCTATAAGATTTAGCCTGGATTTGGTCCATATTTGGCATGAACAAGGCGTTGGTGCCAAATCCGGCGTGAAATGTGGAAACGGATGGTTCGATATTTGACATAAGAGCGTACGGTCAGATTCATGTCAAATTCAGAACAAATTTCTTACCGGCTATATACACATTGACTGTCTCGATCCCTCGAAATTCACGCATGCGCAGTTGATGTAGTATTACCTCTTTAACGTTGCGTTTGGTGATCTCTCTGGCATCGCGTATTCTATCCCCACATTTCCACTGCGCACTCGATCATGCGCAGATTTTTAAAAAAGGAAAATGATCAGCAAGAAAGACGGAACCAAAGCAAACGAAGTGTCATATAGGTATGTATAAATGTTCACGCGATAGATAATACATATAGCTTATTTTACTTTATTGTTCGATCTGCCCATACCTTGTCTCATACATATTATGCCCTCTTGCTCGTTATACATATTATGCCCTCGTGCTCAAGCAAGCACTATCGCATCTGCGAGACGTTAGCCAATCATAGTAAAGATAATTTTTCTTCGACCTCCTTAGTGTCGTGCTGTGTTTTCCGAACTATGAGTTGTTGAAGAGGCAAAACTGCACATTTATTAGTGCATTGAGGGCGCGGTTGTCACCGATCAATCTCGGTTGCATTTGTATGTATGCAGTTCATTCTGCAATCCGTGAGGTATAGTGTGCTGACCCTTCGTACATATCGTGTTATTTTACAGCAACATTTGTTGAAGCGCGGTGATCGTTAGTTATAACGATCGAACGCAACGAGCTGGACATCGTGCCGAAAGCGTACTGATATTTACATCGAAAGAGGATTCATATCAAAACATTCACCAAGATGACGGTCATCACAAAGGCCATTAGCGACAAGAGGACGGACAAAATGGAACAACCGTTGTTTGTCGAAGAAAACGCAACGGTTAGCATTATTTATTTATTTTTACCGAGTTTCATGTTAATATGTCATTTATAATCTTAAATACAGAAATTCATTACAGGCCACCATAATTTGTGAGTCGTGTAATGTTTGTTTTTTTTTTTTTGTAAATAAACTCTCCATTTGTTATTATTTGGCGAGTCAAATTGTTGATTTTACTAAATGTATTTATCAAATAAATTGATTAGTACATACGCAGTACTAGTCTTTTTGCTTTGTGGGAACTGCGCATATGATACATAATTTGATAATGGGCAGTAGGAGGTTGTATGTATCTCTTTGCACGATAATCTATACATGTTATCACAGTTACGAGACTGTACATGTACACGACGATATCTAAACAAATATTGTAAATGTGAAATATCTATAATATTTTTATATAGACAAGCATATTTTTTTTATTGAAATATCTTTATTTATTGTATTTTACGATTTGTGTTTTCGAATATAAGATAATAAACATTAAAACAAATTTGACGTTTATTATATTATTGGGAATGAACTCTTAATTTTTTTTAATTATGTAATATTTAATTGATGTAGAATATATATGTATATGTGAAAGAAAAGATAACTTTTTTTTTGTGAACTTTTTTACTAAAGTTATGTTATAAAAATTGGTGTAAAAATAATACGTTTATATGTTATTTGATGAATTGAAAAATAAATCTATATTCTTAAACAGGAAGATACAAAAACAGACCCAGAAGCACAAGTTCCAAAAAATGATGCAGTAGGACGTTACTTGCTTACCTTCTCCAGGAGAAACATACGTTGCATTCATGTCACAGCAACGTTTTCGCTGTTTCTTATTGGATTCATGGTTCTAATGACTGGTATTGTGGGAGGTGTGTGCATATATAAACAATTTGCTAAAACGCAATTGCACAGATTCAGGACAGGATGGTATAGCATTCCGTATGATAGTTCGAACAAAGCACCATGTAACAATAGTGGAGTTCATCAAGGATTACTGGCAGACCCTGCATTGCTCAAAAGTCTAACAAGAGTATCAGATCAAGATATGGATGGTGACAACCATAAAAGTAATGTCTTTAAGGAGCGATTTGAACTTGATTTGGAGAATGGAGATTATGAAGATATTGATGTTCCTGATTTTCGTGGACGTCAAGGGCGGTTTATCCATGATTTTAACATTGTATGTAGGATAAATTATATTATTTTCAAAAATTGTTAATGGTATTCTTTTTTAATAAATATGCACATTTTATATATATTGCAGAACAAAACTGGGATCATTGACACTGTTAGGCAATGTTGCTTTGTGATGCCATTAAATCGTCAAAGTGTATTGCCACCACGTAATATGTATGATCTTCTCAGTAAAATGTACAGTGGTAAGTTTTTTTTATATTCTATGAAATTATGACCTTCTAATTTAAAAATATTTCTGTATAGTCTTTTAGCACAATAGGTAAGTATACAATCCAATTCGTTATTTTCGAATTTGCATCCAATATGTTACTATTTAGAGCTTTTTTGTCACCAATTATTGTTAAATTAAAAATTATAAAACTTAATTGAATCAAATTGAACGAGGTATTCTAAACAACATACAGATTTTGTTTCTGACTGCTATAACCATATTGACTGTTCAAAATTTCTCTTAATATCTTTCTCTTCCTTATTTTTACCAATTAGGAAAAAGTAACATCAATGTATTTTCAACCATATTTATAATCGCTTTTACAGGTTATTATGATGTAGATACAAAAGTTATCAAAGAAACAATGAAAGTAGTGAAACCACCAATTACTGATTTGTCCCTTGTTGGAACATATATAGCTCGTGAATGTCAAGATTTTCCGAAGTATATGTTAACGAAAGTAAATATGAGTAGCTCGAATGGTAATTATTATATCCAATGTTATAAAATTATTAAATAATATTTAATATAAGATTAATTTGTTCATTTTATATTGCAGTTTTCAAGCGCAGCGTATCAAATGGTGTATTCGGACTATTTGCAGGGAAGAGTATTATAGAATTAAATATTTTAAACATAGATGAGATTGAAGAATATAACAAAAGCTCAAAAAATTGAACAAAAGGAATTTATAATGATTCATAATAGAATATTTAATACCAGTAGATCAATGTATAAAAATATTATCCAGCTCAGCAAACTTAGGTAAATTCTCCATGAATATCCGAAAAATAATTTCTATTCTTGTCATTTGCTTTTTCTTTAAAGATTTGATGATCAAAGACTCAGTATTATTATATATGACTCAGTATCCTCATTCATAAACGTTTCCATATCAAGACATAAAAGCACTCATTCCTAAACATTTCACTGTCAAGGCAAGGAAATATTCATTTTTAAACGCATTTTAAGACATTGTTAAGTCTTCCCATCATTCCATATTTTAGCTTTGAATCAGTGGAGCTATAACAAAAATAAAACGTATTAATTAATGTATATGTAACTAATGTTTTATCAGAATTTAAATAGCTAACTAGTTATATGTGGCTGCTGTAATTAGAGATTTATTATGTTTAAAGCAAAACAGTAATTAAATTCCATGAAATGTTGATGGTGCTTATTAATAAGGTAGAAGTGTATTATCTTCTGTTTCTCTACTTCTTATGCTTAAATCTTTTAATATGTAATTTTAGAGACATATAG